AAGAATAGGCCTATTTTAGCCGGGTATTTTATTATTTAGATGTAATAAGGGGCTTTTCTATAGCAATACGGCGGAAATAGCCCTCTTTTTTAAAGGCCTTATATAGGAATTGCTTGCAGGCAGAGATGCCCTCTAGGAAAGCAATCTCCTCTAACGGCTTCCTTTAGTGGAAGCAATTAAGCTTAGCCCGGGCAATAAGGCGCTGTCGAGTTGGAGTATTAAGATTCGGCTTCCTTCCCCTCTGCTTTTAAGGAGTCCAAGTATCCTTTTGGAGAGAGGCAGAAATTGCACTGCAAGAGACACCAAGACGGTGACCGATCCTGTCGTGCGTCCAACCAGCGTAGCGATTAAGCGTATATGCAATATCACGCTCGCGGACAGAGAGCCGGGTTCCTGGCTGTTGAAGGACAGGATAACGAAGAAGGGGAGGGGGGTGGTGGCCACGGTTCCGGCGTACAAGATTCGGCATTGTATGGCGTGTACAACCTTGTATCTCGCATCACGATTGCTTTATATTACCTGTGACTTGTATTTTTATAGCTTCTTATAGCTTCTGCTGCTTATTAATTATTAGATTACAACAGAAGCCATCCGTTTCTGGCTAAAACGGCGCCAACGCTAGCAGGGAGCGCAGCTGGCCCGCTTAGGTTACGGACGAGCTTAATTACCACCCCCCTATTCTCTCCGCATCACCCCCCTTTTCTCTTCCTGCCACCCCCCCTACATCTAGCCTAGCGCCGGCCCGTATTAATATTGTTCCACCAATCATATTCACTCGCTTATTAGATACGTAAAACGGCAAGGCTATACAAATCGGAAAGGATGTATACACGAATCGCATAGGATGTATATATATACAACAACAACAGTCTATTCACTCCATCTACTCTAGCTAGTCTAGAAGCGGAAAGCGCCTAGATGGCCGCCTCTTAATTGCTGATTGAAAGGAACGCCGTATACACCATTGTACCAAGGTCTTACACCTAAAGATTCTCCTTCACTACGAACAGCCTCTTCCTCAGGAGTACACAGAGGGCCATCCTCAAGCGCTGTTTGACTGTCAGGGACTAAGGAAATAGAGCCCTGGGCCGCTGTTAGGGTGCCTACTTGTCCGGCGGAGAGGTCTGGTGCTGTATTTATGAACTGTACAGGATTGTTGAATACTACAATGGTCCTCTCGACCGCCGGCGTGTCTGTAGAGACACCTGCCATAGTAATTTGGCTGGCTGGTGTCGCAATCTGCATCGATTGTGTTGGTTCCTGTCCACTTGCAACACTCTGCTCTTGTTGTGCACGAGCAGTAGTCTTACGAGTTCGCCGGAGATGTGATGTTCCTCCACGTGATCCTGGTCCTCCACCACGCCGTTGTGCTCGCTGCGCTACGCTCACTGGATCTTGTTGAGCATCAATTTCGAATTGAGATTGATCACGTTGAGTTGAGTTGACAGATACAGATGCACGGCCACGGCCACGGCCACGGCCACTGCCACTGCCACTGCCACTGCCACGGCCACTGCCACGGCCACGGCCTGCTGTTGTTTGACGAGGTGCAGCAGAGCCCGTTGGCCGGCCTTTACGACGCTGTACAATTGCTGGAGCCTCGATGAGAAGGAGAGGATCTACAGGAAGGTCCACCTCGTTTGGAACAGGACGATTGAACCACCAGTGTTGATGAACATCCTCTAGCACAACTTTATACTCAGCTGTCGATGTAGCGTGCAGTTTTCTGTGTATTTCGTGACAGCATGGCATGCCGTACGTCCCTCTGAATGTTCTGTTGCATATCAGGTTAAAATCGTCATCCTTAGCCTTCTTGATCTGCTTGGCGATCAATCGGAGGCCCTGCTCAGTAACTTTTCCAATAACCTCACTAAATTCGGGCAGCTTTACCTCGTGCTGAGGAGCTCTACGTTGTCGGCCAAGCTGGTCCTTTAGCTCTACACCTTGGCGGTGAATGTATTGAGATAGTAGTGTAACTACATCATATAAGTCACCTGTCGAGATCTGAAGATATGATTTGATGCTGCCGTTTGAACCTTCGAGCCGTAAGGTTATGGTGTTGCCGAAGTGCGGCAGAAGGCCAGTATGATACGTAGCAATCTCCTTTCTATATGGCCACCACTCTTCAGTAAGGTAATTAATCAGGAGTTATTTGTGCGCATAATCTGATTTTATCTTGTTCCAAGCGGCCACAAACTCATCCTCTATAGGTTTTGCCAGGCAGAAGTTAAGCTCGTTAATGAATTTCTTTCGATCTTTCTGTATAGCCTTAATCTCAGCTATTGTTAGATCTTAAGAGGCACGTGCTGCATCCTGTAGATCTATAGCATTAGTTGCTGCTTGCTCATCGTCCTTCCAGATAGCCATAGCCTTGCTGGCGATGTTCTTCTGCACGTGCCATTTGCACAGGAGTTGAGGAACAGTAGGAAAGAACTCAGCCAGCGCATTCTTAAGTGCTAGCTCTTTATCTATAATGAAAACGCCTGGCGAAACTCCTAGGCGCTGGCATATAAGATAAAGCTCACGTACTGCAAAGATGTAGTCCCCCTCTTCTTCTCCTGGAAGGAAACAATAGCCTAGCTCATAGTTCCTGCCCTGGTTGGTGACGCCGTTGATATGGAGAAGCGGCATCTTGAACTTATTT